AATGGCATTTAGAATAGATGATAAATCATCAATAAAAAACAGTTTGTAGAATGGGAGAAGGTGGCGTATAAGAAACTAGCCCACTCACCACAATCGCTTCCCAAAGGTCTATTCTCGGATCGGCCCCCACCCAAGCCAACCACGACTTTTACCCTGGGTAGTGCAAAGTGCTACCAGACTAGTAAGGTAAAATGAAAGCACAGACTGGTATATCGGCTGCCCTCTTCAAAGACAGTCTCCGCATTCGAGTCCTTCTTGTTCAAGTAGTTTGGTGGGCAGTTTTTAAGACTGTTAGACGTCCGCGGCTTCACAGTAAGGCTCGAAGGTGCTGCAGCCCGCATAAAAGGCAGTTCTGACGCCTCTCTAGATGTGCCGCCCACCAAAGTCAAAGGCTATCTTCTCTCACGAATTAGGCTTTAACACCGTGTTTTTCCTTTTGTTTTTTCACTCTTGGAGTCGGATGCGGCAGGATATCGCTTCGCTGGCACAAACGAGCAGGATCGACAGCTCGTGAAGTGAGACTGCTAGGAGGCCCCTACTATGGGGTGTTTCCCATCATTTTTTTGCCTTTTCTCCTCTGGAGCGCGACTTAGCGGCTATACGGCTGTAAATGAACACCACTATTCACATTGTGCAATCGCTGGGTTTGTCTTCGAGTCAGTTCAGTATATCGCATTCCACTACAGTATCCAAGGAGGTACGATGCAGGAGCATCCGAAATAAGGTTTACCTGGAAATCTTTATCTTTTGTGTCCCTTATGAATGTAGAAATGGATAAACGTGAACTTCTTTGGAATCCATTGAGGTCATCGGTTCACACAGCACGGCCCCATGGGATAATTAAATTTATCGTTTGAATTTCCTTGGTTGTTCTATGAATGATGACGCAGTTTGGCCTCTTAAACTACGTCGTACCATTCCCACTGCGGGTGAGCGGCATGACGCGTAGGCGTCAGAGACAAATTCGATGTTTGAGGTGACGTACGCGTGGATGTCAGTGGACGTGTGTCTCATTCCGACCTCTCTTCGCTCTCTCGCCATACTCGGAATTCACTTAACTCAATAAGGAAGAAGTCCAGCGATCCCTTTTGGCCATCTACCAACCAGCTGAGCCGGCAATTCGTTTCCTGTTCCTCGTGATTCTGAAAAGCTCTGTGTAGGCTTCCGTGAGCTCCGAGTCTTCTCTGAAGTGCTGTACAGCTCGTAGAGGGCTCACAGGCTCTGTACGGTACATGTTCACATTTGGCTGAAAAAAGTACAGTACCTCCATCAAGGCATGAGTTTTCAGGATTGTTAACACCTATTGCAATATATTTTGCAGCTTATAAATAGCACCCTTCAGGGTTTGTAAGGGAGTGATCTCCTGAAGGCGTCACACCTTGTGGACCACCCAGGACTATTCCAACTCGCGTTATTCTGATCCCACTATCAAATTCGATTCATTCAATGATCTCTTCTTTTAATTCCTCATTCAATTTTCATTTGAAATGTCACTTAGAAAACAAAAACGAACTTTCATCGAAATTACTGGCGTTATGAATATGATGGCGACTAGAAGTGAAGTGAACAAAGAGCTCTGAGCGTAGGTGGCCATTTATTTGAACCCAGTGGACACCATGGAGCTATGGAAGCTTTCCCTTCAGTACCCCTTGCCTATCACCATCTCCTAACCCTCGAAAGGGGGAGGAGGGGGGCGGGAATGGAAGAGGCAAGGAGGTGGATCGGTCTCGGGCCTACTATCAGCAGTACTGTAGCACTGTAGTCGGCGTTCTGGAGTCAGAAAAATCAGCAGTTACTGAAATGAACGGTTAGTATAGTCGCTCTATAATTCTCGAGGGAGATATTCAAGGCGTAAAATGATGTTTTCCTATTGCTGTTTACTTGAAATCAACAAATAATAGTAATAGTAAATAAACAAGCTCTCTAGTGACTGTAGTGAGGTTGGAAACTCCTCACATTTTCCCATCCTTCTCCATCAGACTGGCCAAAAATACCAGCGTGAATCCTTTAAACTTTCGCAGGGAACTTTTGATCATTCCAGTTAGGGAGAGGCAGCACAGTTCGGCGATGGGGGGGGCTGTTTGCCATTACGCTGCTTCACGACTTCCGGTTCACTGAGCTTTTGCGTAGCTGAAGCAAGCTCGCTGAGCCACCATGGTAAAACCTGTAAGCTCACGAAATGGCTCTCTGGATGGGTGGACACGTTGATGGGAAGTAGCAAAAGTGCGAAATGCCCCCCCCCCCCCGTCGATTGCCCCGGGAGTGGCTGTAGCAGATGCGCAAGCTGGCAGCCTCAAAGAAATACTCTTACAGCCGTTGTGAGTAGACGACCTAAAAAGTTTCTTAACTTGTGAGTAGGTTCTTGTCTAAATTCATGCATTTTTATGCAGGGAAGTACTTCCTCATCATTACTGGCAGAGTAACGCTAGCGTGTAGATTCTTCGATGTACCTGTGCCGCAGTAGAAAGAGAATGGCTTTCAGTGAAAGGGTAAGGGTCGCTTTCAAGACCAATGGGGCCTATTCAATGTGGCCCTTCAAGATGATGATTTTTGACGTTCCTGCAGCGGCAAAGCACGACCTTTCTGAAGCCAGACCATGGAGCAGTCTCTTTCCCTTTTCTGGAGAAGTTCTTGGAAATGAGCCATATCTTGAAACCTTGTTGCATAACCCAAATGTACTATTGCAAATTGTCTAGAGTACTAGTCTAAAGTCAATTAACAAAGAAAACCTTTCAGAGTGCTTCAGTACTTTTGCGGAGTCTAATAGTTTCGCTAACTGCAAGCACCTACTCAAATTCCCAGCGAAAGCGTGAGCACCTCGAACCAACCAAATGTCCTTTCTCAGTCCACTGAGCTAATTTTGATTGGACCTCAACTCGTTAGTTCTTCGCGACTATCCGACGTTTGCCGCGGTCTCTTGGGGCGTACGCTGTGACCGTTTTCTAGAGGCGGTCCTAATTATTCACTGGAATTGGGCATGGAAATGACTTATTTTCGACACCTATGTGGGTTGGATGTGCTATAGCCCGCCCTATATAACGCTGTCTAGCGTTAGATTGGGTCCGTAGTTGGACATGGCTAGTCGCACATTGGCCGTCGTCGAATACCAATTGAGGCCATCCACCAGTAATGGGCGTGACCACTTCATTCTTCGGTTGCTTGACCTTACTTCATTCATAGTTTGTTGAGGCTCGCTCCTTCCTGCTCTATGATTGAGTCGCACTCGCATCAACCTATGCCTTCTAATCCATTCAACCTACCCTCATGCGGTCATGGGCTGCTACTGCTACCAATCTCTACTGTTATGTGGTAATGTAGTAAAATTAGCAGCTTGAATGGGCTTGACCACCTTATTCTTCGGTTGCTTGACCTTCTACTTCATTCACAATTTTTGAGGCTCGCTCCTTCCTGCTCTATGATTTCACGAGTCGCTCTGGCATTGACCAATGCCTTCTAAACCATTCAACGTCCTCATGAGGTCATGAGCTGCTCCTGTTGGAGGTCTCTACTACTATGTTGTGATGTAGCAAGGTTAACAAGCGTTTCATATTTTTACATCAACCCAATATTGTGTGGAGATGGGTCATTGGCAAATGAACCCTTTTATCAAGCATTTTCTGGGAATTGCACCCAGGCCAAACGACTGTTTCATCTCCGTGACCGGCCGATCGGCGCCAGATTCCTGGGAGAGGTTGAAAATAGTGGAAGGTACTCCTAAAGCTCGTTTGTATAGGAGAATGTTCATACAAAACCAGTAAGCTGTCAATAGCATGGCGCATCCCAGGAAATGATTGATCACTGGTGTACTTACCTTATGAGCCTGCCAATTCTGCTGGAATTCCGTGATAACTCTCAGTCTGAGAGCTGTTAGAAATTTCAAGTGAAGTGATATGCTTTAGTTATTTTCACATTTTCTTCACGTTTTCTCCATTATTAGTCACTTTTATTGTTTCCATTAGATATTCCAGCATATGCCATCTCGTAATCTAATTTTCTGTTGCTAATAACAAGATTCCTACTCTATTGTTCAACGCGTCGTGCTGTACTTCTAGCAGAGGAGATGTGTTGTTTATTATCCGTCTAGGACGTTTCTGATTAATGAAAAAATGCGAGAATCGTTTGAAATTTTCCCTTACTTTAAATTGAAAGGGTACCATTTCAGTGGTTGCTCGACATCGGGTTTCTCACATGCTGATTTTTCTCACTCGTTTCGTGGTAAGTAGTTAGTATTTTGTAACTGTAATCCATTTGGACTAGATTATTGGCATTGGCACCGCATACGACGAGTATGGTAGGGAACCCTCCCAGGAAGGTATCTGGTCTTTCGAGGTAGGGGAGGGGAGGGGGTGTGGGATCGTTTTCGGTCTGGATGCGGATAGAACTTTTTTAGTTGATCGGCTCTCTTCCCTAGTTGGCGAAGCAGCAAATCTTTTCTTCTGATACATGGTTGAGCTGCCCCCCCCCCTTCGTCCACCCCTCCAGTAGCCCTCCTGACAAAGTTTTGGGGATTATGGTTGGTCTTCAGATGGATAAATTGTCTGAACTGTCTAAGATTGTTACGGTCTCATTAATATCAACATCATGGCTTCTTCCAATTCATCAGAGCCGGAAAGAGTCAAAAACAAGTAGATTGTCCTTTCAAATGCCTTAGCAAGACAGAGACCACCTCAAGATATTGGTAAACCACCTAACGGCATGATCGGTAAAGATATAATTGGCCTGCTGTAAAAGAGGTCATATGGGAGGAAAATTCGAAGGGGATCTTATATACACAAAATTCTTCTACAGCGCCAGGGCATTCCCTTGTCAGGAGGCCAAACCTCGAACCAGTCCCCTTCCGTCCAACCGGACCTCGCTTCACAGCTGGGCCGCTAAATCAGTGCCACTTTTGTCTGTAAGGGTAAAAATAATGGTAAAAATAATGTCTTGTGACGTCCGCTGCCTCCTCCCCTCCTCAAATCCCTTACATCACTGTGCGGGCTAGATCGCATTGAAAATGCCACTATCACGCTAAATAGGAATGGGATGCGTGGCAGATCCTAAATGAAATTCATCAACGTCGGAAGCTCATTTCTCTTCTTACCGGGTTGGTAGAGCGAAGGTAGGCAGCTGAAATTCTTATGGCGACCTTTTCTGGGGGATCCACTGACAGAACGAATCTGGACCAAAAACCATTTCGTCCATTTGGTGGCATCGGGCGATGACTTGGGTAGGAACACAAAATCAGTGCCTTGAGCAGTTGCTGAGTCAATAAACAGAATCTTGTCAGTGGCAAAGATGAAATGTTCGACTTTCAATCAAGCCCCTTTTCGGGATGCGGCATGCATTCTGCTGCCATCCAGAATCGTATGAGCTCAATGAGTGCAACAAGGTTTATACATTGACTTGCTGAGCCAGCCATTGAAGAAGTCAGTGTTTTTACCCTCCCAGACGGATCTGCTACCGATTAACTGTCCCCGGATGGTACCAGGCTTCAGTGGCCTGGGTGGGAGCCAATCCGGGATCGGAAAAAAACCCAGACAACGTGCGCGGTCAGCGTGTCATTCGCTACTATACTACCTCAGCTTAAAGGCAGTTGGCACGATGGTTTCCTACTTAGCCTAAAATGCTAGTAGGGCGCTGTATAGTGGGGAAATGGCGAAAGAACGGAGTGAAACGGTCAAAATCCTGCGAAGAAAAGCCTCCGTTCTCAGTGACTTGAAAATCGATTTCGGACGAGTTTCCCGTAGGCATCTTACCAATCACCGCTACCGAAGATACGGCTGCATATGTGTACCCATGTATGCATGCAGCATCACGGCCGCTTCATACCAATCCCTTCGCTTCATAATTTGCTTAGCAAATGAATGAATACGAGCGTCAGGAACGGTCGTCCATTTGTGGGCGGGCGGGCGTTTGGGACGTAAAGTTGTGGCTTGATAGGGCCCTTATAAGGGCACCTTCCTCGGGGAAACCGCTATGCAGCGCCTGCCCAGGGTCGCGGAATTCTATCCTGCCAGGAGTATTGATCCTAGTCGTCTTGGGGGATTTATCGTGCCAACTGCCTTTAAGGGGTCCTTGTTTAGCTGAACTTCTCTCTCCAATGCCACTACTACCTTCTCCGCAAGCCAAATGTCGGATCATACTCCTTCCGAGCCAACCGTACCTCGCTTCACAACGTGAGCCGCTAAATCGGTACTCTGTAAATGTAAAAATAAATGATGACCTGTCAGTTAACCGTAAAACATTACCGTCACTACGTGAGCTAGATTGCATTCGAAATGCCAATGTGATGCTTAATAGAAATAGGATGCGAGGCATATCTTAAATGCAATTCATCACTGCCGGAAGCTTATCCCTTTCCTTATCCTGGCGAAGCGAAGGTGAGCAGTTGAAGCTCTTATCGCTACCATACCGTTAGATTAATCGACAGATGGAATCTGGGCCAAAAAGTAGTGACTTCGTTTCAATGGCCTATACTGGTGACCTGGACTAAAACACAAAAGCATTGCATTAAGCAGGTGCTGAGTTCAGAACCAGAATACTGGTAAAATACAAAAAGAAAGTATTATCCTTTAATCTACCCCTTTTTGGGATGCTCGCAGAGATTTGAGATGCTCGCAGAGACTTTTCAGAGAGGGGGAGCATTTTGATCGTTTGCAGCTTCACTAGTTCCGGTTTGCAAGTCTCACTCTGGTGAAACCTGTGAACTCTTGTGTAGCTGGAGCAAGCTCGTCCAGCCACCATGATAAAACCTGTCAACTCTCGTAAGGCTCTCTCGATGGCTAGACACGTCGATGGGAAGTGGCACAAGTGAAATTCTTCGCCCCCCCCCCCCATGCGAGCTGCGCCCAGCTCGCATTCCACTTCCATTAGAATCATAGTGGCTCATCAGTGTGACTTAGTGGCGATGTGGCTTATGCAATGAGTTGGAGGGGGGAGCGTCGATGTACAAGTCAGTGTTCTTTCCTCTTTTAGACGGATCTATTACCATTTGACCGTACCTGGTGGGCAGGAAATTTAGTTGGCCTGTGCGGGAGTGTGCGAAAGTCGACCCGGGATTTGATCCCCGGACCTCACGCGTGGTAAGCGGGCCACGCCGCACACCACCTCCTCCTCCAGTGGTGGTACACGCCAGCTATGTCAGAAACCCTTCACGATTATCATGCGTGGTGCATCTCCAAGTAATCCAGACTAATCCTTCATTGTACTGGTTCGAAGAACTTACTTTAAGGGCCTTACATTTATCATGTAGGCCTCCTCTGTCTCAGTCTACACTATCTTGAACAGCAAACCCTTCCGATATAATTACATCATCGTATTTTTAGTTAATATTCGGGCTCTCGCAGCTCGCCTCTAGCGTACAAGATGCAACACATCCTCCACCAGCATTGGATGATCTAGAAGGAAACGGATTCAGTGGTATGAGGGTTTCAAGTAAGTTTGGAAGGCATTTTTTTGCAAGAAATTGTTAGACTTCTTCTTTCAAGATTACAGTAGCGCTGCAGGCCCACGTGAAGATCATGAAGTCTTCGGCGAGTAAAGGAGTTTCTAAACGATGGATCAGAGCAGTAAAAACAAAGTTATAAATAGGCAAAATGTTTGACGTCGTCGAAAAATGGCTCGCTATAGAAGAATTAAAGATTTATGGTTTATGCAAAGATTTGCAATGATTGACAGGACTGCTAGAGCTTTTTGGGTGCCTCTAAGGACACTTTCATTCTTGGGAAACGGCTAACTAAATGGTGGTGAATTCGGTGTGCTCCTGCAGGCTATTATTTAGGAGCTAATCACTTTTTGATCGAACTACCAGAGAAAAAACCGTTGTTGAGGTACAGGGCATGAATTTCTTTTTTTTTTGGATTTTTGAATGATGAACTTCTCCTTGCTCCGCTTCAAAGGATCAAAGGATTGGTTGGATAAGACTGCAGCGAATACAATACTACCTCTAAGCACGAAGGGGGGGGGGAGGAGGACGGGGTGGTAAGAAAGATTGTTCCTATTCTAACAACTGGGAGATAATTTGTTTTGACGTGCATGAGCTCCAAGTGCTCTTGACCATTTGCCTATCTTGTATGGTCGAGTAACAACGACCGTATAAAGGCTGAAGCAGCTAGCCTCGTCATTTACTAGGGCGAAGGAAACCTCGAGGAACTGAGCGTGCGTGAAGCACCCTCTTAATCACTCAGCTGCTTAGGTGGACGCAATTACTGTAGGCCGGTGGCGATAATTCATTACATACATCCCATATCCCCGAGAAGAGGTGGGCGTAACCGCATATCCTATTCGAACGAGGCGGCGCCCGCGCTCACAGTGAGATACGATCGTTCTGGGAGAAATGTAGTCATGTGTTTTTCTAATGTATACGGGATGACACTCGCCTCAAATGAGGATATCCCACGAAAAGGCATCTTACGCCATGATCAAATAGAATACACAGCCACGCCCCCTCCATCTCTTTGGTATGTGAGTAAAAGTTCTTTTTTTGGAGCAGGGGGAGCGCTTGTCTCTGCGCACAGAGAAACGTTTCAGGAATTCTTACCCTACCTCACTATGTTCGTCACCTGAACTTTGATGGGACGCCTCATGGGGAATTCCCTTTCTGTCCCTGGAATCAGAACTATTGATTATTATTGATTCGCTTGGTATAAGGTTTTCAAAACAACTAGTAGCAAACAAGTCTTAGCGGAATATACTGCTTATTGTGAACTTGACTGTTTCAAGCCTGTTTTCGGGGTGTTGGGCTTCGCTCTGTCAGCAGGGTACAGAATCCTTTGCAAAACCCATCGGTGGTCCTACCTGGCCGTCAACAGGGTGGGGTCGTAAACGCAGGGCTGGTAAGCACCGAGCAGCACATAAAGTTATCACTAAGCTTGATAGCTCAACCAGCGCTGCAGAGATCCCGGATTTGTGGAGGACTGCAAAACACTCAGATAATTAACCAAAAATATTAGGAGTTAAAGCAAACGCTTGAGTAGGAAGATAAACTAACATAAAAGGAGAACAATAGCAGGTTCGTTGATATCGGAATTTCCGAACCCTATGAAAACATCTCGTGCATGGAGAAAAATTACTTACCTTCACATGTTACGCCTTTCCACCTTCTATGTGAGAGCATAATGCACGGCGCACACTAAGGCGGGATTGATCTATGATAACCAGTCACTTTCAGCTCAGTTTAACGGCCCTGAAGCTGAAGGTGTGTTCTGAAGCCCTTTAAGCTTTCCAAATGAGTAACGCAACGCAAAAGGAATCGAACTCTCGTGTGCTTCAAAATCTCGCCCATCAAAAATCTATCTGAAATTTCTTCTGAAGTGGTGGGTCTTCAAGGAGCTGCTGTGTGTGCCCAAGTGGAAGCACTACTTTTTGTGAAACTGTTTCTGGTTTGACAAGTATGAAAGAAGTATGTCGTCCAAAACATACAAACTCGCGTGCAAATTGACAGTAGCCCATCTAAAACCCAGCCAAACTGTTTCTCGAAAGATTCAGATTACTGGTAGTAAGTATACGCTACACAGAACCATCACTTTACATGCCGCCTTCCGTTTACCAAAAGCCGTGCGCATGGAAATTTATTACCTTCTAAGAAAGCGATGCAGTTTCTACCTTGTCAACATGTCTGCTCCAGCGCTCCTTTTTGGGCTGGATTCGCAACGTGGCTGCGAGCACTTGCAGATCGCTACGTTCCTAATCTTCTAGCCAACAACTGAAGTCGAAAGAAGGAAGAGGGTCGTACCGGGATCTTCGTTCAGGGGGGGGTCGTACTGACACCACCATTTCGCGCATCACGATGCTGTACCCTATCCGTAAGAGGGAGAAAGAAAGGGAGAGAGAGAGAGAGAGAGAGACAGAGAGAGAAAGACAGAGCTGTGCAGAATGCCTCATCGCGCTTACTGTTTGATATTGACAATCCCTCGTGTGAGTCTAAAGGACTGTCGGAGTTGTAACTGGCAATTTCGATTTCTTTAAGCAGCCCTTAATGGAACTTTCTTCTCTGGAGCTCTGGGAAAATAGTATTTCCTGTAGACCCCGCTTGATGCAACTGGTCTATGAAAATGATGTGAAAGCCTTACTATATCAGAAGCTGCTTATCCGAGGTTCCGGTCAAAAAGGTCGAAAGGACACTCAGCTGATGAGACTAAGTGCAACGAAGCCCATGGGAATGCCCTTTGTACGCACTGTGAAATGAATGTGCTCGCAGAGTCATCTAAAAGGTCACAGAATGGAGAAGAGGGCCTTTCGAGATGATTGACCATTTATCAGATGTCCGACTTCAGTGATTGAGAAGTCTCGCTGGAGATTCAAAAACAACTCAGATTCAAAAAAGTCACTAGCTCCCTAGTAACCAAAAAATATTGGCGCAGTTCGACGACGAGAGGGGGGGGGACTTTGCACTTCTGACCTGTGAAATCTCTAGTAGCCACGAAATAGTACCATCTAACGTTTTTGATATGTGGCAGGAGACTCGCGATTCGCCGCACCAGTGGGTGTCGCGTGCGACGTCGCGCAATGAGGACGATTTTAGGTGATATTGGTCGAGAATAGACAATGTATGACCAAAAATAGACATAAGTGTCTACCATGTCCTTGTCTACATGGAATCCGATGCTCCAGTCGAAAGGGCAGTGCAAATTAGGAGACGTCGCGCCGAATTAGGAGCGTCGGAAGTAAGGGGCAGAAGTAGGAAATATCTCTTAATCTCAATTTCAAGGTCAAAAATTCAAACAATAGGAAAAGTTGATGCATAGGATACTAGGTTTCATAGGTTTCATAGGTTCGGTAGAAGCAATAAATTCATTTCTCGAAAAGTGATATTTAATGTTAAGGGAAAAGATAAACCACCACACGATTTACAGTTGAATAGTGACGCCCTTAGAACACGATTTATATGTTCTAGATAAATGAGCTATGGAAGAATCACAAACAGGACATTCTTTGTCACTGCCAGAAACAACCATCGTTCTCGAAAAGTTATCTGACCGTTCCACTCACAGCCACCACTTGGGAACACCCCTTCTTGCCATCAGATGAGAACAGAAGTATTGTTTAACTGACTCCCTCGAATTCTGCTTCATCTTTCTTTCATCATCTTGTTCTTTTTCTTGTTCTCCCTTTGACAGTAACTGAAGTTTCGGAAATTTGTAAACGTTCGCCAATCGCGTCAGCGCGGCACGCTTGCGTCCTGATCACGTCCCGAAGAATGAGCTCCAATTACAGAATGGAGACGTCTTCACATTTTCGCTTGGCGAGTTTTACTTTTGTTGACTGTTGCAAGTAATGAAACAGGCTCATTAAACTAATGGTCCGCGTTGTCTTATGAAAATGAAAAAGATTGAGGGGTTCGGTCCGCACTGCTCAACTCCGTACCATTTTCTCGGAGGAACATTGCGAGGTGAGAGCGTTGAGGCGCTGGACACCTCCTTCTTTCCAGTGACTCCGCCTTCAGAAACCTCTACCGGGCGAGTAGCATGAAATGGAAGCTCCACTGTCGTCTAGTGGTCGTAGGGCTCCTTATTACGAGTCAGTTTACTGTATTCTTCAGGCGGTATTTTTCCGCCTTCTATTGGTGCACGTGTTTGCGGCTGGGGTCCAATCAGAGGCGCTTCCAACGTTCCTATGTGCATCTTCTTTTCGCAGACAACGTCCTTGGCACATCCTCTTCCGACACCAACGCCTCTTCCTATACTATGTTATGTACCGTACCTTTAGGACTTGGAACACTGAAATGATAAATCGGTAGCTGCATTAGACTTGCTACCTCCCACCCCCCCCCCTTTTCCATGGAAATCATGAAAATCAAAACAATCGAAGTGAATAGTGATTCCACTTTATTGGGTGCTCACGGTAGTTTCCACATTTATCGTAAGCAAACAGGTCAGAACTCAACAATTTTTCAGCAACCTGCAGAAATAAAGACACAATCAGTCATTAGAAGGCTGAGTCCTTGAGCATCAAACTTTTCATTTAGTCGTCATTTTAACTTGAGCGTATCGGCAGAGCTCTTATTACTGGACTTCTTTGTAATATGCTTCTTTCATAAGCAGTATCCTACTAATACAATCGGCTATGTCCGTGTGTGTGTGTGTGTGTGTGTGTGTGTGTGTGTGTGTGTGTGTGTGTGTGTGTGTCTGTTTGTCACGAAATTCATAGCACCTGAAGAAGAACTTGGAGGGTCGGGTCATGGTGGGGATGGGTAGAGCATGGGACAAAACCTAAATAGCACCCATGACCCATGGTAAGCCCCGCCCACAGTGGGCGGGGCGTGCGTCGAAAGTTAGCGATGTCACTGAAAAAGTCATAACTCGGTTCCAGAGCATCCCCAGGGAACAGTGCAGTAAAGTTAACAAAGGGCTGACCGACCAAATAGAGGAGACACACCCGAAATGGGCGGGCGTGCTTGAGATGGGCGGCGCTTTCCATAAAGGTAGGTAACTCGGTTCCCGAAAATGTTTAGAGATCGCAGAAAACTCCATGACGAAGATGAACATCTGGCAAGAGTCCACCATGTTTGCGGCATGCTGAGGCCCGCCCACAGTGGGCGGGGCGTGCATTTGAACACGAGGTACCATTATAAAAACCGTAGTTTGGTCCTAAAGCACTACAGATGGCGCAAAAAAGTGGATTATGGTCCCAAGTGATCACATGCAGGAATGTGCGAGGCACTCCCGTTGTGGGCGGAGCGTGCCCCGAGGTGGGTGGAGCCAAATTAAAAAATTCGCAAAACGCTTCCAGAGCACTCCAGACACCGGGAAAAAGTAGTTTAAGAGGTCTTCGGTTGAGAAGCGCGAGGCATACGTTGTGGGCGGAGCCAAATTAAAAAAATTCCTGAAACGGTTCCTGAATACTTCAGACACCGGAAAAAAAAGTAGGTTATCGAGGGGTCACCGGTTTGCAAGTGTGAGGTATACCCGTTGTGGGTGTAGCGTGCGTCGACGTGGGCGGGGCCGTTCTCAAAAATCCTTGAAGCGGTTCCAGAGCACTCCAGGCACTCCAGACCTCCTCTGTGATACAGCCCGCCTTGCGGGGCGTGGCTCCGTCGCGCCTACTGCATTCGTAGGTCAAATGCTGGACCAATACCCGGCTTTCCTCTCATCTGTCCACTTGATCAACGCTCCTTTCCACCATTTCATGCACCGTAATAGTGTTGAAAATAGCAGGTATGGTGCTATTGGTGAAATAATGTTGATCATCCGTTCAGATGAAAGAAAAGCCGAATACTAGGCGGGTATTGTGTGTGGAAAAAGGTAAGCGCGGTGGAGCCCCGGCTGGTGTACATATATCAGATTTCAGTTGCTTCTTGTAGTAACTCTTTACGACTTTCACACGTAAATGGCAGTGTTCCTAGGCGTCATCATGATTTCAGATAATTTTAGAAAGGATTAGACTTTATCCCAGAGTTCTCACTTGAATTCTTTCAGGTCGTAGGAAGCGTCCTCTTGCTGGTTTAAGGCCAGGGCGTGGACCTTGACGCTTTAGAGGGCACCGGTTTCGGTGGATTTCGACGACGGTGGTAATATAAACGTTTTAAAAGTGCTAAATAGAACCAGTTTTCAACTAGTTAGCCGATCAAGTGGTGACAGTGAAACCCTATCTAGGCATAGTTGTCAATCTTTAAAAGGACTCACTTATCACAGTATTTCCACATAATTTGTTTCAGCTACTTCGGACCGGCCCCCTGAGGAAGTGAGGTCCCGTATCCGCCGCTCCTATCAATTTGGTAATATAATGTTCTGAAATGTGCTAAATTGCTTTAGATGTTCACTAATTAGCTGATGAGAGGGTGATAGTGCGACCTTCGGTGCCAAATAGCACCAATTTTCAAGCAGCTAGCGGAGAAAGGGGTGAAAATGGTCTGGACATCATTATCAATCTGCAAAGACACATGGTACGACCACACATACCTCGAGATCCCTGAGATCGGGTAGGCGTGGCCGCATGTTTCAACTTATCCTAAGGCGTTTACGCTTCTGATGCGATATTTTCATCTCGACACAATCGTTGTCGTGTCTCTGTCCAACACAGAACAAGATGACAGTTGTCCCAGACTGGAATATTCCACTAGTAACCAGTTCTTACAGTGTTCGAATGCTCCGCCTACCCGATCTCAGGGATTTCGAGTATAGTTTGGGTGTGCTTGACTACCAGCCCCCAGCTGTCGAAGCGTAGCGGTTTTTCCGTCCTGAACGTGCGCAGGAATGGAGATTCAGGACTATGGCACACGCCAATTTCTCCGCCTAAAATGCAACGTGCGGCTCAGACTTCTGATCCCGTTTATAGTAACAGCCGCTCGCGCAGCGCTCTTGGCACTTTGCCAAGTCGTGTAATTGCGCTTTGGAATACAATCAAAACGCAAACTCCTGATGCGGATAACATTTGAGGTGTTGCTCATGCTGCAAAGTCCGAATAGAAGGTGATGAAGATGACAAAGGCTAGAAATGAAGAACAACGAATGTAGATGTAAATAAAACAAAAATGAAAAAATTAAGGAAATGTAAATTAATTGAAATTGTAAATTTTTCATTCGGCGCGATTCCGGCTCCAAAGCCATAAAAATACTTCAAACTAACGAGTGGGACGCTTAGGCCGTTTTATTTTCCATGTTTGTGGAGAATGCGCAGCCTCCGAGGGAGATTGCAGAAGCAGCACAGTTCTCTCGAATCATCATGTTCGATTTGGATTTTGCCGCATGAGCAACGCTATCCACATCAGGATCTTACATTTTAATGTATTCCAAAGCGCAAGTACACGACCTGGCAAAGTGCCTAAGAGCGCTGCGCGCGACATGCGCCGCGCGGATGGCTTTTACATGAGCGGGATCGGAAACTCTGCGCTGCAAGTCGCATTTCAGGCGGAGCACGGAAGAATAGCGTGTTCCACGGTCCTGATCTCCATTCCTGCGCATGCTCAGACGGGGAAACCGCTACGCTTCGACAGCGGGGAGGGGGCTGAGAGCCACGCACACCCACTATGTGTGATCCAAAGCCACAAAGTGTGTAGCCTTCAAAGGCAGCGCCCACGTTCATTTGATGTTCCTACGCCCTCCTTAGATATCGTAGCTTTGTCGACAAGGGTGGAGGATGTACTAATTTCAGCTCAAAAGTACGAGAGGATGGGGCCACCCGCTTGTGAGTAGGAAGCCGCCCCGCCCATCTGGCTGCCGTTACTACTTTGGCTTAGCCTTTAAAGGCTGAGCAGACTCTCAAGAATGAAGAGTTATAGAGCTCATATAATACGTGATCCGCCACTGAGGAAAAAAAGCAGACAAATTACAGAACCCTATGCTGGTTAGGTGGGCGGGGGTGGCCGACTCTTCACTAGCGAACGGCGCTATCCTCTCGCCTTTTTGAGATGCAAAACTAGTACATACTGCATCCTCATAGGGAGGGCTATGATATCCAGAGAGGGCGCGGGAACATCAAATGAACGTGGGCGCTGCCTTCGAAAGGATTCTCTTATCCCAATGTTTCGACATAATTTGTTTCAGCTACTTCGAACCGTCCCCGTGGAGGAGCGAGGCCACGTAACCGCCGCTTCTACCCATTTGGTAATATAAAGTTCTGGAGTAGGCTAAATTGCTTTAGATGTTCACTAACTAGCAGGAACGGGGTGATATTAAGACCTTCAAGGACGATTATGATTTCCAGCGATCCTCGAAAGGATTTGGTTTATCCCAGAGTTCTCACTTAAATTCTTTCAGGTCGAAGGAAGCGTGCTCCTGGCGGTTCAAGGCAAGGGCGTGGCCTTGACGCTTTAGAGGGCACCGGTTTTGGTGGTTTCGACGACGGTGGTAATACAAACGTTTTAGAAGTGCCAAATAGAACTAATTTTTCGCTAGTTAGCGGATAAAGGGGTGACAGTGAAGCTCTGTTTAAGCACGATCGACCATCTTCAAAAGGATTCCATTGTGTTCTCACATAGTTTGTTTCAGCTACTTTAAAGCGTGACCGTGAGGAAGCGAGGCAACCTGGTCCCAAAGATGGTTACTTCTACCCATTCGGTAATATAATGTTCTGGAATGTGCTAAGAGGTTCACTAATCAGCAGATGACGGGGTACATGGGACCTTCCTCAGGAATGATTGAGAGCTCCAGCGATCCTTGAAAGAACCCTGTCTTATCTCAGAGTCCTCACTTGAATACTTTCAGGTCGTAGCAAGCGTTCTCATGGCGGTTTTACGTGGCGTGGGGGAGTGAGGCGCCATCCCCGCCGCTCCTATGGATTTGGTAACACAATGTTCTTGAATATGCTAAATTGCTTAAGATATTCACTAATAAGCAGATAACAGGGTGAGAGTGGAATACTCTTCAGGGATGGTTATAACCAGCGTTCTATGAAAGGATTTGGTTTTATCCTCTGGGCTCTGACTTAATTCTTTCAGGTCGTAGGAGGCGTTCTCTTTACAGTTTGAACGGCGATGGCTTCGGTGGTACTGGCTCGACGGGTAATATAAATTTCGTAAAAGTACTGAATAGCATCAAATTTTCACTGGTTAGCAGATAAGGGGGTGACAGTGGAATCTTCTAGAATGGCTGTAATTTCAAACAATTTTCGAAAGAGTTATTCCATCCCAGGATTCTCACACGAATTGTTTCAGGTCGTAGGAAGTGTGCCTCTGACAAACAGGAGGCCTGTGAAGAGAGAGACGGTCCTCGAATGAAATTTTTTTTCCAGGAGCCTAAGAGCAAGCGTGCCCTCGACAGTTTGGACGGAGATGATTTCGGTGCCCTGTATAAGAGATCCCTGAATTCTCTCGATGGTGAAGGCTTCGGATTCGATAAAAGAGCTCTAAACGCTCTAGATGGCAGTGGATTTGGATTCGACAAGCGAGCACTGAATTCACTAGATGGCAGCGGATTCGGATTTGATAAACGAGCACTGAATTCTCTGGATGGCAGTGGGTTCGGCTTCGACAAAAGAGCTCTGAACTCAATAGAAGGTACTGGATTTGGCTTTGACAAACGGTCTCTCAATTCGATAGAAGGAACTGGCTTCGGATTTGACAAAAGGGCGTTGAATTCACTAGATGGAACGGGATTCGGCTTCGACAAAAGAGCCCTGAACTCAATAGAAGGAACTGGTTTTGGCTTTGACAAGAGGAATTTTATCAGCAGTAGGTTTTTTCTTTCAATTGAATCATCAAAGGACTTTTTTGTATGTTTCCATTTCAGCTCATCCTTATTTGAGACTCTACAAAGGCAAACAAACGCGGAGGTACAAGGGTGACCGAAGCAACTACAACGGTTTAGACACATGTAAGTGTTAAGATACTGCTAGAGTACTTAAAGTGCAGGGGAGGTATGGGGGAAATCCGGAGGAGGGAAAAACCCATGCACGTATGCGGCGCGGTTTCTTCACGGCGCCGCGGCGGCAGGGCGGAGCGAAAGGCGATGGCCCGCGTCTCCGGCGCTGTGCTCCAATCCAGCAGCCTCTTTTATGTGGAAGGAAGAGGAGGGAAAAGTAGAGAGAGGAAGGGAATTGAACAGATAGTGGGTGCATATGTGAGTTAGTGGTAGTGGTAGGAGATCACAGAAAAGTCGACTATCACGAATTACTTCAGTGAATGGCAGAACTGGCGGCATAGTTCCCTTCGATTGTGAAAACGACGCAAGCAGCTTTTACACGAAAGTTCAAGCTGAGGTTTGGCAAATTGCCAACAGTCGGTTGTGACCTTATAACGCTATAACGTCACGTCCCATTCGAAGGGAATCATTCTGCCAGTTCCGCTGTTGACTGAATAATACGCTCTATTCTCGACTTTTCTGTATTCTCTGCTCACCATTACCACTAACTCCCCTATGACCGTTCACTACTTCTTTCCCCCTTCTCCTCCTCCTTCCACATAATGGGGCATAAAAGGGGCTTCTGATTGAAGCACAGTGGCGGAGGCGCAAGCGATCACCCTTCGCCCGCCCGTCGCCGTGAAGAAACCGCGCCGCATACGCGCACGGGTGAGTTTGTACACGGAACCGGTTTCTAAGTATCTATCTGAGCATTTGGTTGAAATCTTTGTTCGAAGTGGCTCTTTTTGCAACTTTTGCACGAAGAGCCCTTCATAGACATTTTCTACACACACTATACTACATTACATCTCCATTACACGCTCCGCCCCAGATAACTCCGCCCCTTTTTGTCGCGACACATTCTACATGTATGTTAGACACATTTTACACTATATATAGATGTTATACAAGTTTATCACAGTTTTATAATATAATGTCAGATGGAACCCTTAGAAGACTGAACCTTTTCTCTATCTCTATTCCTACAACGGCAAACAAGGGTGGAAGTGCAAAGGAAGCAATACGAGTGTTTTGAAGCATGTAAGTGCCGAAATACGTCAAAGTATTATGATTTTCTGCGGAAGGACTTAGTTTCATCCCAGATGTATAGAGAAGTTACAAGGCCGTTGAGTAATCCTTTTGCCAGTTCCCAGCTGAAATACTGCAAAAGCAAACAAACGGGTGAACGGGCAGGTACAAGGGTAACCGAAACAACAGTAACGAGTTACACGTATGTAGTGATACCAAGATATCAAGATACTGTCAAAATATTCAAAGTAGAAAGGAAGGATGGAGTCTTTGACAATCTTTTTGAATTCGCCACCGTTTTTCTCACAAGTATTGCTGTTGTTAGAGCAGCTGCAACCACAGAAGACCAATGTGTTGTAGAAGTCGTCATCGATAATGAAGAGAATGTGGCTATGGGTGGGAATTGAAGGCTTATCAGCTCTTATGCAGCTTCCGTCGTATCGTAGAAGTGCGTCCACATCGGCATGGAATCCGTCCTTGGAGACAGTTCCCAGGATTAAGTGCCATGGATAGTTGCTGCTCAATCGTGAACCGGTAGCTGATAAGTGATTACCCAAAAAGAGAAAAATAAGCAGGAACTTTTGCAAGAACGCCATAAACAAATTTGCTCCCTGACAGTCACACCACCCTGCGGTCTCTGTGCAACCCTGGCTCACAAATCGCTTTTTCGCATCTCCCAGTAGTGAATATCATCCTAGTGCAAAGAAAGAATTACGCAAAACAACAAAAACACCGGAGAAACTTGGAACAAAAAGCAACTTTCAGGAATCCTGCGCACGAATTTAGGATTACGGTAGCGCGCGTGGTTTGGTAGTCGAGCTTTTGCACCAAATATTGCACCAGTTGTGAATTTAACGCGTTTTACATTGCGAGATGGGTTCACCTGAGTGTATGTGCTCCCAATGAATAAAATGTAAGGAAAGAGAGCAAAATCACCCATGTGAGTGAGCGCGGCCACCGAAAATGGGCCTTCAGCTCCACTTCATGCCTGCCTCCATAACAAAGAACAACTGAGCGACCCTGTATCAGACGTGAAGAGGACATCTAGCAACCGGGTGGTCCAACTAAGCAGATGTTCAAACTAGAACTTTCGACGGCGTAGCGCCCACTTTGCTCTGTTGTGTCGTGAAGGCGGGAAAGTCTCTTAGCTGGGGTCTGCACTACATGCACAAGGAAGGACGGCCACGGATTACTCGAGCGGGGGCTGTCTTTAATTTCATGTGGAGTTATCCGATCGGTAGTCGCCAGTAGAGCATATCTTCAGATTCGAACGTCCTAGGTTTGGCTCCACGTTTGCGGTTGAACTGCGTTTTCATTTTCTGTCCACAATAGGTTCTGACTTTTCTTTTCTTGCCCGAGCTGGCGCATTTCCGAAACGAATGCTCCGCAATGATGGATGATTCCGGAAAATGACTGGAACTGGAGGTATCCTTCGATGCGGACATCATGGAGATAGCGTCGATCTTCTTTGGACCAGATCGGCGTCTGTCAGCAGTGAAGATGCTCCCAAGGTGGAAGAGCTGTGTATGCACGAAATGGCACTGTCGATGGGGAGCGTAAGCTGTAGTCGGGCGTCTAAAAGAATAGGATTTCTAGGTAGGCGTTGGGCTCGGAGAGAGTGCGGCCGGTGACGGAAGTGGGTGCAGCCGTAGGGTTCGGCGATCATGGAGTCGATGATCTGCTGGAAGATGTCGGGATAGGACTTGACTCCGAACGGTGGACGACTGTTTTGAGTCCTGTGTGCGTTTTGATCTCAAGGAGCTCACTGGAATCTTCTCCTACTTCTACCTATAAGTAAGCGTTAGCGAAGTTGATTTGTGAGGAGAAGGTTCTACCACTGAGCTTTGTGAAAACGTGCTTCGTGACGAGCAGTGTGTAACTGTTTACTAGCAAACTGTTGACTCAGTAGTGAAACTGGCGCAAAGTCCAGTGAAGTCCAGAGTGAATCCATTAGTCTTTCTCGCAACGACGATTGGAGCAGCCCGTCTTGAGTGACCGACGGTAGAGATGAGAGTCTCGCCATCAGACGCTGATCTCGGCGACAAGCGGTACGGATGCAAAGGATACCAGTCTCTTCTTGATGAACGCTGGGCGAGCATCGGGCGGCGATCGTCTGGCGGGGGGGGGGGGTTCGTTATTTAGACCTTCTGCACGTTGACTCTCTTCAGACCGTGATTGAACTCTGAAATCTGTTCAATCCATGTGATAACGAGTAAGTCGTTGTTGTCGGATAAGGAACAGCTCCATATCCGTGGCGAGCCTTTCCTCAAGTGTCCACGACCACGGAAGCGGCCACGGAATCTCCGTGAATTTAGAGACGATCTGTTGGTCCTTTCGAAAAGTCAAACTGGGAGCGGGTGGGATGTCCGTTGATGTGAACTTCCAGGTACTTTCGGACTTCATCTGGACAACCGGCGACGCGGGTATCAGGTGCGCGGTGATGACTGAGAGCTACATCATGGCACATTCTTTACCTAAGCGGTAAGCTTGATGCTTTTCTGGACAGTCCCTCTTTCAGTGTTGCCGGCAGATTGCCGGCGGCAAAGGCTCGGTTGGACGGAGCAGATGGTCCTTTTTAATTTTGGACGGCATCACTTCGTGTGGATTTGCGGCTTCGGCAATGCTGGAGTCATCCTTGAATGATCTCCAAGCGTGGTACTCCTTTGTCAAATCGTCGATTGTTGTCTTCTCATCCTTATCCAACAGCGCACGATGTGAGGTAATCAGTCAGCTCCGGATCTTGGAATGCGAAGATACGAGCCAGACATTCCAGAGCTTCTTGCATGACTTTCTCGAAATTGGCTTCACGGCAAAAGAAAATTCTTTTCGGTTCCGAACAGCATCCTCAGAGCATCGAACGTTCGTTGTCGGATAACGCTTGTTCACGTGATTACTGCCTGTCTTTATAGTTCACTTCACGTGATCATTATAACACATACAGTCTGAGCCGACCAAGGCATATCGATCGGACTCTGCATCGGTGTAATTGATGGAGGGAACTTCAAGGAAATCAGGGGTCAAGAGTCGGCCAAAAGATACCTCAGATCGCCAAATCAACTAGGGTGGTCTCATTCCGTGTATACGAATATCTTGTGCGCTTGGCACCTGTCTACCGCCGGCGCCAAAGTAGTTCGCAACAGCAGACTGGGCGCAAACTTGTCCCGTGATAGCGTGATCCATAGACACAAATTTTACATCCCTCGGCGCTTGTGCCTCAAGCGCCGGCTAATTTCCTGAATTTTAGTGGTCTGCTGCTGAACTGCTTGGTCCTAACTGTTTGGCGCCCGTGCCATGGGCGCTGGCGCCAAACCCTCGATCACCAAAATTGTTGAGCACTTGTATACCGGGTCGCTTGACATCCTAATTACGGAAATGACGTCCATTTTTTTCTGCGCCGGCGCTAATGGACTCTACGATCACTCTGCTAAGGCTGGCGATTCGTGATTAAGCATCGAACCACACCACCCATGCAGGTTTTCATCGATTTTTCCGAAAACTGTGGTTGGCGCCATGGCTGGAAATGAATGTTATTTTCGTGATCAGGGCACCGAGAAACCCCATTATGCAAGTTTATACAGATTTTTTGGGAAAGGTCGTGTCGCCGAACTGGCGCTCAGTGGCGCCAAATTGGCACCTAATGGCGCCAAATGGCGCCACGGCTAGAAATGAATGTCACTTTCGTGAACAGGGCACTGAATAGCCCCAGTAAGCAAGTTTATACAGATGTTGTTGAGAAAAGTTGTGGCGCTGAGGTGTCGCCAAGTGGCGCCAAATGGCGCCGGCCAAAACCCAATGTCGTAGAATATGAGCATACCCTCGGATACAGCTCGGCGAGCTGATTCTAACCATATATGGGTATCCATACAAAAAGTCAACAGGAACAGTTCTGCGAAGAAAAAAACAAAAAAAACGCGGATTGGCGTTCGTAATTTTTTGAACGCTTACGAGTACTGTA